AAGCAAATAATGAGAAGAACAGTGGTGGCAGTAGAAGGAGGTCTGTATTTGAACTACAGGATGTTCAGAGAATATATGGACGAAGCTCTGAGAGATATACTGGGAGAAGATGTGGCTCAACATGTAGTTGTTAAGGCCATGGAAGATGGTTCCAGCATTGGCTCTGCATTGTTGTTGGCTTCCTCACAAAGTGTTCAAACCATACCATCCGCATGAATTAGTTGTATATATATTTAGTTATTTACAATGTACATAGCCAATTGTTTTAGACGCATGTAGCTTTGTGTAAATATTTTAGTTTCTTCTACTGATGATTAAGTAAATAACAGTTTATTTACAAAAACAATGATTTATGAGTATGTATATATGCAATCGAAACAAGCCATAATATCGAATCCCAATCTTTACCAGATAAAGTATCGTTGAATGAGAAAGAACATTCGAAAACTACAACATAAATTCAAACGATAAGAGAACGAAAGCCCAATTTCATTACATGCGTTATCCGAGAAAAAGCAAAAATTTCTTGAAGTAAAAAGTGAGCAAGAAATGAGAGAGTTAAAAACAGAAACTGCTGTTTCAGAGGCTACATTGTTACAGCACAAAAAAGAAGCTAAAAAGAAAAGGTGGAGGGTGCTGAAAATGCGGACAAAAACACACACTAAGGCGGATAAAGAGGAGCTGAGCTTTGCTTATTCTTCGCCTTGGCTCTCATCCTTCACCAGTTTGATCATGTCGTCGATTCGTAGAATCGTAATGGCTGCCTCTGTTGCAAACTGGTCCCAAAACAAAGCGCCTTTAAAATTTAGGAGATCACTTGATTTTTTAGTAATCTAGTTCATGTAAAGCCAAGTGCTTTTTACCTGGATAATTTTGACTTTGCTCATAGCTGGTTCGATCACTCCAGCTTCCAAATTGTTGCGGATGGTTCCATTTACAAGGTCAAGTCCCATGCTGCATATAAGTTTTCCCAACATAAAGCCGATGAGCACATTATATTTTCAAACAGAACCTCAAAGGGAAAGGACACAAACAGATTGCTTATCACCTTGAATAGTGCTTCTTATCAGCCTTGGTTTGTGCGGTGTGGTGGTACGCTCTTAGTTTAGCTACCAACTCAGTTGCATCCTTAGCAGCGTTTACTGCAAGCACCTGAGAATAGGATGATAAACGTTGGATTCTACGATACGAACAAAAGACAGATTATTTATTGATGATATAGGTTTGTAGGTCGCACCTTTGGTATAATCAATAGCGCATCAGCAAATTCAGCGATGGCCAATTGTTCGCGAGAGCCCAAGGTTGTAGCAAGGTGCTCCAGATACACAGACAATGCTGATTCAACTGCACCTCCACCCGCAACTACCTGTTTGACAAGAATCAGAGCGTTAGGTAAACAAGAAAAGTAATGTTTTTTGCTAAATGCAAGGAGTATCTCTAACAGGAGGTAAAAGAATGTTACCGTGTTGGACTCAAGGGTCCTCTTGACAATACATAAAGCATCATGCAGTGCTCTCTCCATCTCATCAAGCATGTAGTCATTTGCACCTCTTAAGATCAACGAAACCTTACAGGAAAAAAAAACTTACAGTCATGACAAACCTAGACTAAACTCTGATAATGGTAAATAACTTTAAATGAAATATATTTAGGATAAATTTTGTGTGATATAGTACTGTCAACAATCAAGTGTGATTTAATGCAGAGAGAAAATGGCATACCGCACTGCTTGTTTTGGTTCCTTTTATCAATATAACATCATCATCTGCGATTCTTTCTTCCACAACCTCATCAGCAGATCCAAGGTGAGCTGGATCAAATGTTTCTTCGCCCTCCATGTCAGCAAAAGTGGTGACCTAAAACAAACGATAAACATATTAGTTGAAATTTTAGTTTGTCAACATTGTTCTAATGCTTTTAGTATTGAAAAAGTATAACGGAGGAAGTACCAGAGTCGCTCCTGTCGCCTTGGCAACATGGCGCATGTCTTCTTTGCGCACACGCCTAACAGCGATAGCTCCTGCCTCTACAAAGTACTGAAGTAAAAGCAAGAGAAATGAGAATCCAAGGATTTGAATAACTATGGTGAATCAAACATAAACACAAGAAATCTTGAATACTTCAAAAACTAAGTTGTGTGTAAACAAGAGAGAAAATTATTGGTTTTCATCCTCACTTTAAGTGCCATGTCGTCAATCCCCTTTGTGGTCAGAATTACATTGGCCCCAGCTTTGAGAAGTTTCTCTATCCGCTCTTTTGTCATGTCAGCTTCTCTGTGGAAACAAATAATCAGCAACATATTAAAAAACTCTGTATGGAACGAAGATAACATCAGCTACAAGTGGACAGTAAAGCCAATGTATTAAGCTTTCCTATCCCATACACCCGGAAATTGGAGAATGCAAATACTTCTTCACGCAAGGATCAAGAGAACAAACCAATTGACATTTGGTAGGAAAAAAGCAAGCACTCTGAATGCAAGGAACTCAAGGAAAAGTGTATAACTGAGAAAACTACCTTTGACGGATCTTTTCAAGTTCTCGTGGGTCATTAACAACAACTTGGACACCCAGCTGCATTTTTGTTTTCTGCAGATTGAAGTCAAGGCAAGCAATCTTTGCTGGAGACACTCGTAATGGCATCCCTTGGGCAGCACGACCAGTATTGAGTGCATATCCATTTAACAAATAGCTGTCTCTTGCACTTTGTCCATGAGCTTTCAGAATATTAATGCCCTATAATGTGGTAAGAATACATGTTTAAGCATAAAAATATCATCCTCACGACAGATCTTTATATTTGAAACTTTGACAGAGAAGCATTAACAGACCTTGATAGGGTATTTTATCTCTCCCCGCTGATTTGTCATCTTTACTGAAAGAACGGCTTCCACAACCTTTAAAAGAAATGTGATTATAACAGTTCAGCCACATGCAATGATTAGGGTATTATTGCAAGATAAATCAGATTTAAGTAAAAAAGAGTCCCCCAAGACAAAACCAAGAGTAAACATAGGTTTTAATAACAAAGCCCTTCCACGTGTAAGGAGAACTGGAAGCATACCAAATTGGCAAAGACGTCGCTGTCACCAGATATCAGTTTGGAGGACATGCTGGTTTTGGCACAGTTTATCAATGGAACTTTCCCAAGCTTTTCAACCTATAAAACGCAAAAAAACTAAGTAATTAACTGAAGGGGAAGAGACAGAGAGTACAGAGAACTTACCCAATTATACTGACACAAAAAAATGTATGAAGATAGTACCATATAGAGTTCAACCACATAAATAAAAGATTCCTCAAATGCTGTATACTCATTGAGAAAGATAATAAATGACATAAGAGGCAAAAATATAGACCATCACAAGAGGACTAACCTTCGTCACCAACTTCTCTTCTATGTATTTGCAAGATTCCCTCATTGCTAGCTGTCAACAGTAAAACAGATAATGAACACACTGGAAATACTTGTGTAGTGATAATTGATGTCGCTTGTGAAATTAAAGTCACTAAATATGAAACCAAAGTCGCAGCTTACCCTATATCCACTGATAATTGATGTTGGATGTATTTTGTTCCTCACCAAATCATTTGCCCTCTGCAAATATATACATAAGACCATTAATCATCAAGCAGTAGTTACCATGTGAAAAATCTTCACAACTCCAAAAAACAAACAAAACCAAAGAAAAGAGTAATCAAACTAACCTTCAACAACTCAGCAGCTACAATAACAACAGATGTAGTCCCATCACCAACTTCTCTATCCTGTAATTCAGCTAACTCGACAAGAACCTGTCACAACAAAAGTAGACAGATTAGAGAACGGAGTAACTAATAATTCATAATCAGTCTTTTAAAAGCGCATATATATGCAAATGATGATAAGAATATACATATAACATTCACATATGCATAAATTACCTTAGCAGCAGGGTGTTCGACCTCCAACATCCTAAGAATAGTAGCACCATCATTTGTAATGGTCACATCACCAATATCATCCACCAACATCTGGAAAAACAAGCCGACATAACATGAAACACGATTGAAGGAACTAGGTACGAAAATACAAGGACAATGTCTAGCAGATTTAGAATAAAACTGGAAATGGTTAGGTCTAAAAAAAACCCTAAAACTGGACACATCTAAAATATGAAAAACAAAGGCTCACAGAATATATATAACACAGATGCAAATCAGAAACCAAACCTTGTCGAGTCCGACGGGACCAAGAGAGGTCTTGACAATATTAGAGACAGCTTGACAAGCCATCACTGCAAATATAGTATATCAAATCTGAGTTAAATACCACAAAACATCCAAAAGAAGAGAGATTAAAAACAAACCCTAGCTAGAGATCGAACAAGATATTTGCGATGAAAACAAAGAGAACAGATTAGTAATGAGAAGAGATGGGAAATAGACGAAAAAGGGAGCGATAGAGAATAGTAGTGTACCGTTCTGAGTACGAACATCTTGGCCGGATTGTCTATCGCCGGAAATATCCGGATTTTGGGCGGAGATCGACATTATCCGGTTATTATATGAACAGGAGAGGAGAAGCGAGAGGCTATAGATCGGAGATCTGAGCCCTCGAGGAAAGTACAGCGAGAGATTTTTCGCTTTTTATTGGATAGAAGCGAAAATGCTTCTCAAAAGTTTGAGAGAGTGAGACTCCGGCGGGTTTTTAACTTTCAAGGTTTCTGGGATGTGCGTCCAGGGTATGAACGAAGCGACGACGTTTTATGTATTTGGACCCGGAAGAAGATATACCCTTAGGCCCATTTTGTGATAATGGGCTTCAGGATTTAAAAAAGAAGGGCATAAGTGTCAGTTTCAAATTTTTAACAAAAACACGTCATCTTTAGCATTATCAACTTCTCCGCCTCCGGTGCCAACATTTCAGATGTTTGACTCTGTTTCGATCTTTCAGTCTTATCTTGTGGGGAACTTCGGTTTCTCGATTTTTCATTAAGTTCAGAAACTTTTTTTTTTTATTATACTTTCAGATACTTATTACTACAGCATTATCAGAGTTACTATGAAGTTCTCAAGTCTCAGTTACGGAAAAGATATTGGTGGTGATTGTGGAACTGTAATAAGAGGGTTTTGATTGCTAATATTGGCTCAAATTGAGATTATAAAAGTAAAAGAGACATGATCCAATACAGTTGAGATTTTAAATCAGTTACAGTGGCTTTTGAGAATCATGCGTTTAAAGGCTTGTAGAGCTTCTCAACCATCTTCCTATACTCTGTGTTACATTAGAAGAAGAAGAACATCATTATTGAATCAAAATGGAGACATCCAGAGATGTGTTATCTGATTAATATTGCAAAATTACCTTCTTGATTGCTCCAAAGCTGAGCCGCTTGATTGTTCAATGGTGAGCTGATGTTCGGTTCTGATCAACCAAAACAGGAAAAATCAGATACTGGATCAACCCACATAGAATTTCATCATAAGTAACCTCAACAGTTATGTCAGCCATAGAGTTTACCTCCAAGAAGGCTCTGAATTGAGAGTAATATCGTCCTCACATCGTAAGCAGATGACCATTTATCCTATAAAGATGTGAAAACAGATTATGTTTTAAGTGCTGCTTCTCTGATATGTGATTCCATGGGATTTACATTAACACACAAGTCGAAAGAGCAAGTGATTCTTATGTACCTGAAGAATGTCCAAGCAAATGTTGCCATAGAGATCCACATTGGGGTGGAAGCAGCATGTCTCAAACTTAACTTTGGGAGATTTAAAAGGATAATCGTTTGAGAAAGTGAGTGAGAGTCTGTACTCAGTTCCTTCGAACACAGTATCTTTGCTTCCTGTGATTGTTCCTTTCCAGCAAAATATGTTGTCTTCCTCTGGAAAAGCAGATATCCCCGGATCACCTCCCATCTGCAACACATAAACCCAAAGGCCATGTATAAGCGTCTAACCATATCAACAGGTTCAGTTTTGCAAAGAAAAGGCAATCAAAGATAGCTTACCATCAAGCCCATTAGTTCAGATTGCAGCCTGAAATTAAGGAAGAACAATGGATTAGAAAACCATGAATTTGTTTGCTTAACAAAGAAAAAAAATGATCCAAGCTTTGAGCAAGAAAGGGTACATAAAAGAGAGTACTTGAGATCTGATTCAGAACCAAGATAAGGAAAACCATCGTGAAATGTGATTGTACATATAAATTTTGATGTATCATTCTCTCAGAGACAATTTAACAAACAGTTGGTAGACAAAGAGAGAACCCATCATTTCAGAAGAGAACAAGAGAAGTCACAATCACTTTTGGATCCATCGTTTGCTCTAAAAATGATACAGAAGCATGTAGACCACAAGAAATGGATATGGGTAGAGCCAAAACCTAATCTAATCTACCTAAAGAAACATGAAGAAATCTATAAACAATCGCAGCGATTATAATCATAGACAGGCTAAAGACTAATTCCTCTAAACGGAGGCGAGAATATTCCAAGATCGAAAAATGTAGAAAAGAGAGAACCTTTTTAGGACAGATTGACTATCGACGGTCTTAGTCGGAGGAGCAGGTTGCTTTGATCCGGTGGCTACCGGCGTAGTCGCCGCCGGAGTATTTCCTGTGTACCCATTTACCGTCGCCATCCTTTTTCGCCTCTTCTAATTGAACAAATAACAATCGTGGTCGAAATTTCTGAAATTGAAATGCTTTTGATCGAGGAGAATCAGATTCAAGAATGATCAAAATTGAAGAAGAAGGAGAAGAGAGATAGAGAGGATAGTGATTCTTCTTCTCTTAGAGAGAGAGACGTGGGTCTGGGTTATAAAACGTGTACGACACAAGAAACGACGTCGTTTAAAAGCAATAAAAAGGAATTATCCAAAACTATTTTTCGAACGTTATCACTTCGAATATAGCGGCTCTTTTGAATTGAAAATTCACCTACCTTATGTAACGGCTATTTATTTTTTCCAATGATCAAATTTATTACAAAAACATGAAAAAGGGAATCATGCAAGAGGAGAGGGTGTAGATAGCAAAGGACAAATCAAGATCTTGTTACAATCAGATTCATCAAAAGGACACAATATCTTTGAAACCAATTCCACAGTTAAAGAGAGAGACACATTTCTATAGATACATGATAACTTCCCTAACTTTTCTACCTATTGAGAAACATCACACTAAGGGGCCATCAGAGATGACTACACAAGATAAGGGGAGGGAGATGTACATACGGTACTAATCAACAATAGAGCTTAATGACTCGCGAGACTCTTGCAAAGAAGACGGGACACATACTTGTGCTGAACTTTATAACCTCTCTCATCCATTCCGGTGCCACTCTTTGGAATGTTCCGAGCGATACAACCTTGTAGAGCAGCTCAGATTCTTCACCAGTTGGGTTATTTATAAAAGTTAGGCTGAAGGATAAACCTGTTATGGTCAAAAATCAGGGAGAAATAGTCAGCATCGGTGCTTTTCTCGTGGCTGATGGTCACAAAACCGGTGGGTGGTCCATCTTTTGAATAAAAATAAATAGGTCTTGCATGAAAACAACCTGGAGAAAGACAGTGAATTAACTTAACGCAAAAACAAATTACCGGTTGTTGGGTGTGAGGCTACAATGCAGACGTGTTCGCCTTCATTATTAGTTGATAATTTCATTCCTAGCAAGTGTTCACCAAGAGCTTGAAATGTACAACTAGCAGAACAACTAGATCCATTGTAGGTTGTTTTGCAGCATTGTGGCTGAGAAACCAAGAGAGTTTCCTTGAAACAAAAGCAATAAAAAACTATTAGTAAGGATAAGTTTATGATCCACTGGGTTTGTGAAGCAAGATGCGCAACATTCAGCTCAGAACTGAAAGGATAAGAGGTGATTTGTTTTACCTTTGCTTTATGATGTTTGCTAATGTGAGGTGATACCATCTCCGTTTCCACCATATCTTCTGACAGTCTGCTACGTTTTCTCATGCTTCTCGTTGTAACTCGAGCAGTTTCAGGAGTCTTTGTCTCTTGTTGTTTTCCATTTTGATCTTCGTAGTTGCGAGGATGTCCCTCTTTCACCAGCTCTTTTAGCTTGACAACTTCTTCAGAAAGTGCTTTGTCTGAAAAAAAAAATAACTTTTTTAAGTGCAAGGACAAAAATTACTTAAACCGAAAAACAACAAAGATTGTCATCACTCTACATGAAGCAGTTCACATTATCTCAGCTAAATTCCTAGAAAAACTTCATATCATGTCCGACTAAAGGCTACATTCCATGACACATGCAATTTGAGCAGCAACTATCATTAACATTGCTTCTTACTCTTTTGTTCTTCTTCCCTGAGAAGCTTTTGATACTCCAAACACTTGTCATCCCTGCCAGATCTGTGGATCAAGATTGTTATGGTTACATTACCAAGGCTCCAAACTCTCTATATATAAAAGAATGTCAGGGAAAATTAACACGGTAATATATGATGTACATGCCTGATTGAAGTCATTTCATTCCTAATTTTCTCCACTATCTCCAGCAAATTCTGATTTTCACCTCTCAAATGTTCCATCAATTCCTCCGAGGCTGCAAAAAAAAGCAAAAGAGAGGGAGACAGACGCACTAAGAACGTCTTCACAGACTTGAAAAAGGTCTCTAATTTTGTAGGCAATAAACAACACAGAAGAAACCCCATTGTTCTAATTCTCTATTGAAACAATTCCAAGTGTTTGTAATTGCAATTTGAAATCTAACCTAACTAGAGAGAAATGAGTACTATAGATATCTAAAATTCAAGTATTTAACAAAGGAACTAAACCTCAAAGAGCGAATCTTTCGGAAAACAAAAGACGAACAAGGAGAAAGAGATAGAAATTGATACCTGAAACAAAGTTAAGGAATTTCTCTTCTTGTTCCCTATTAACCTCATCGTATTCGGAAAATTTCTTCTTCTGAGAAAAAAAGAGATCGAAATCAAAATCGAACCCAGAAACGCGAAATTCCAAAAAACCCACATGAAAATCAAACGGAAGATGTTGCTGAAAACCTTTAGTTTGGAGTATTTGTCGTAGAGCTTGGCGTAGAGAGCTTCCATTTTTGCAACTGAAGAGTGACGAAAAATCAAAACAATTGATACGCGACCCGGAAAAAAAGCAAAATCGAAGAGCTTACAAATTCAATTCGAGAGAGCAAACACAATCGCTTTTGTTTTCAGATTTGAAGGACCAAACTGCTGAATTCAAAAAAAAATACGAATTCAAAAAAAAAATACGCTGAATTCAAAAAAAAAATACGAACTTTAAAAATCCCTAACTGAGAAGTGGATTTTACTACTAGGGCAACGGTTAAAAGCACACTATTTTTTTTTATTTTTTTTAATATATATAGATCTATTTTGGTCCACACTTGACAGTTCACACCAAATCACACCATAATAATTGTCATGCCATCACGAGGATCACGAGAGTTTCGCTAGGAACTTAATACATTTTGCTCTGTTATCTACAATCCTCAATTCTGATTGGTGGTTATTCACTACGGATTTCCTCTTGTTTCATCAACCTAGATCTTCTTCACTTTTTGAGCAGCAATGATCATAGTTGACTCTCAAAACTGCTTCATCTTTATCCTCTTATGTCTCTTCTTACTTCTCTGTTACTATCTCTTCTTCAAGAAACTTAAGGATGGCCTTAATTTGCCTCCGAGCCCTCCTTCTCTGCCCATCATTGGTCATTTTCACCTGATTCTCTCTGTTTTAATCCACAAGTCCTTTCAGAAACTCTCCTTCAAGTACGGACCATTACTCTATCTCCGCATCTTCAATGTCCCCATAGTCCTTGTCTCCTCTTCCTCGATAGCCTACGAGATCTTCAAGACACACGACGTGAACATCTCGTTTCGTGGCCTCCCTCCTATAGATGAGTCCCTCTTGTTCGGATCTTCCACCTTCCTCATGGCTCCTCATGGAGATTACTGGAAGTTCATGAGGAAGCTCATCGTCACGAACCTGCTCGGCTCGCAAGCACTCGAGCGGTCACGAGTCATCCGTAAAAATGAGCTTGAGCGGTTTTATGCAAGCTTGCTTGATAAGGCGATGAAGAATGAGAGCGTTGAGATTGGTAAAGAATCGATGAAGTTTAGTAACAACTGCATTTGGAAGATGAGCATGGGAAGAAGTTGTTGGGAGGTTGAGGAAGGTGAGGCAGAGAGAGTCAGGTGTTTGGTTACACAGTCATTTGCCTTGTTGAAGAAAATCTTCTTGGCAACATTGCTTCGTAGGCCGCTCGAGAAGCTTGGAATCTCATTGTTTAAACAGGACATATTGAGTGCTTCCCGCAGATTCGACGAGCTGCTAGAGAGGATTCTTGGGGAACACGGAGAAGAGAAGCCAAATGAGCATCAAGGTGGAGACATGATGGACGTATTGTTGGCAGCTTTTCGAGATGAAAATGCAGAGTATAAGATCACTAGGAACCATATAAAGTCCTTTTTCATGGTAAATGTTTCTTCTTCTCATTAAGAATTCAAAGTAATAATCTTGACTAAGAAATGTTGTTTTTAAAAGTGCAGGAACTTTTCATTGCAGGCACTGACAGTTCAGGGCAGAGTACACAGTGGACAATGGCCGAGATCATTAACAACCCTATTTGTCTAAAGAGACTAAGAGAAGAAATCGAATCGGTTGTAGGGAAAACAAGGTTGATTCAAGAAACAGATTTACCAAACCTTCCTTACTTGCAAGCGGTGGTCAAGGAAGGGCTTAGATTACATCCACCAGCTCCTCTATTTGCAAGGACCTCCAAAGAATCGTGTGAGATTAGAGGGTTCTATATACCAGAAAACACAACACTTGTTGTTAATGCTTATGCTATTATGAGAGATCCTGATTCTTGGGAAGATCCTAATGAGTTCAAGCCAGAGAGGTTTTTAGCTTCTTTTGGATCAGGGCAAGAAGATGCACTTAAGTACATTCCTTTCGGGAGCGGAAGGAGAGGCTGTCCGGGAGTAAATCTGAGTTACATCTTTGTAGGAACCGCGGTTGGAATGATGGTGCAATGCTTTGACTGGAAAATCAAAGGAGAAAAGGTTGACATGGAAGAGGCCATTGGAGGACTGAACCTGACCATGGCTCATCCCCTTAAGTGCACTCCTGTTGCTCGATCCCTAAACCCTTTGACTTTGTAATTTGCATATGATACCAAGTTCAAAAAGATCATTAAAGTAATAAGGAAACCATTGCTTTCAGCTCTGTTTAGGGAATCGTCTGTTTCATTTGCCCTCTTTGCTTTGAGCAACACCGATAGCTATCATACTGCAATTTATATCTCAACTCTGAATTTATATCATAAGAAAGGCACAAGCAAAGCAACAAGCTCTAAAATCATGGCCAGAAACTGGTGAACACAAGATTATACCAAGCAGTTTTGAAAGTTTGGAACTTGAGGATTTATTTTCCATGTTCTCTCAAAGACTAATAAAAGAGAAATAAGAAAAATATGCACCAAAGAAACATAGAAGAGGCTGCATGCCACAAGGCTGGAAAGAGTCTCCAGCGTGAACAGTGAGGGATTATTCATCACGTTTTGTATTTTGGTAGTGACGTTGTCTTGCTCTTTGAAAACTTTGCTTAGATATTTGAACACGCAAATGAATTAACACTAAGAATTAGCTTACTGTTACTGATATATTTCATGGTTTATGAGAAATTGAACGAAAATTAGTTGGCTTATGTAGACAAAATGCAAAGATATCTTGATGATTTTATATGCTATTTTCTTAAGAAAAATTTCAAATATGACATGTAATCAAAGGTCATACAATCGAATTTTAGTGATTAAAAAAATCAACTTAACCAATTAAAACAACAATCTATAATTATTGTGGTGCTCATCAGTTTACAAACTTTTCCAAATTGCGTAAGGCAATTACCATTTTGGTAACAAAGGAGGGCACGGAACCTCAAATTTCCAAGAAATTTACATTTTCAAGTGCTATTTAAACACAAGTGATTGATGCTTGATAAGATAATTCTATGTGTCATATGCTTTTCACTTTGAGCAAGGCAAGAATAGCAGCAATGATCATCCTTGGCTTTCGAAACTGCTTATTTTTCATACTCCTCTGTTTCTTCTCACTCCTCTGTTACTCTCTCTTCTTTAAGAAACCAAACGGCTCAAGAAGTGACTTTGATCTGCCTCCGAGCCCTCCTTCTCTTCCGATTATCGGTCATCTTCATCTTCTCCTTTCTACTCTTACCCACAAGTCTCTTCAGAAACTCTCTTTCAAGTATGGATCTCTCATCCGTCTTCGCATCCTCAACATCCCCATAGTCATCGTCTCCTCAGCCTCAGTTGCTTATGAGATCTTCAGGACGCATGATATGAATATCTCGTTTCGTGGTTCCCCTCCCATCCACGATTCTCTTTTTGTCGGATCTTGGAGCTTCATCTTCTCTCCTTATGGAGATCATTGGAAGTTCATGAAGAAGCTCATGGTCACAAAGCTTCTCGGATCACAGGCACTAGAGCGGTCAAGAGGCGTCCGAGCAGATGAGCTAGAGCGGTTTTATGAAAGCCTGCTTGATAAAGCGAGGAAGAAGGAGAGTGTTGACATCGTTAAGGAAACGATGAAGTTCAGTAACAACATCATCTGCAAGATGATTGTGGGGAGGAGTTGTTCAGAAGAAAACGGTGAGGCAGAGAAAGCTAGAGGCTTGGCTAGCGAATCGATTGCCTTGGGCAACAAGATTGTACTAGGAAGCATGTTGCGCCCACCGTTTAAGAAGCTGGCAACCTTACTGTTTAAAAAGGAAATGATGGTTGTTTCTAGCAGATTTGACGAGCTGCTCGAAAAGATTCTTACGGAATATGAAGAGAAACTAGACGGACATCAAGGCACAGAACTGATGGACGCGTTGTTGGAAGCTTATCAAGACGAAAATGCAGAGTATAAGATCACTAGGAACCATATCAAGTCTTTTTTCGCGGTAAATGTTCCTCACATCTATCAGGTAGTTTCATTGAGAATTACAAAATTGTTGCGACTAAGAAACGTTTTCGCAACTGCAGGATCTTTTATTTGCAGGCACGGACACCACAGCGCAAACAACACAGTGGACAATGGCGGAGATCATTAACAAGCCTAACATTCTTGAGAGACTGAGAGAAGAAATCAATTCGGTTGTAGGGAAAACAAGATTGATTCAAGAAATGGATCTACCAAAACTTCCTTATTTGCAAGCGGTGGTTAAAGAAGTACTAAGACTGCACCCACCAGGGTCTTTCTTTGCAAGGTTCCCCCAAGAAGGGTGTAGGATCGGAGGGTTTTACGTATCGGAGAAGACATCACTTATTGTTAATGTTTATGCTGTGATGAGAGATCCAGATTACTGGGAAGATCCTGATGAGTTTAAGCCAGAGAGGTTTCTTCTAGCTTCGTCTTCAAGATCAAGGCAAGATGATGAGAGAAGAGAGAAAGCACTCAATTACATTCCATTCGGCGGGGGAAGGAGAGGTTGTCCTGGAGAAAATCTAGCTTATGTCATTCTAGGAATTGTTGTAGGGATGATGGTGCAGGGTTTTGAGTGGAGAATCAAAGGAGAGAAAATTGACTTGGAAGAATCAATCAAAGGATTGACCTTGACCATGGCTCATCCTCCTAAGTTCACTCCTGTTGCTCGAACCTCAAACCCTTGAAATCTTAATCAGCAGAGTTGATGTGACCTATAACTATAAGCAAGCAAGCTCCTCTGTTTCTGTATACAAGTCTCCCGGTTTACTTTTCTTTTAAAAGCTTTGGTTTATCTGTTTAATAAATAAATTTTCCCGGTTTGCTGTATGAAACCGTAAAACATTGTGTGGTGTCTCTCTGGTTTCGTCTTCTCTTTTTCGATATTCAATGATTTTGATTTAGTCTCATCTTGGAATCGTTGAATACTTCTTTCCCAGATTTCCTCTTAAGCTCACTCCTGTTTCTCGGACTAACTTTGTTTTTTATGTTTCCGTGTCCAAGTCTCCCGGTTTAGTTGTTTGCCTTTTGGTTTAGTTTAGTTTATTGTCCGAACCGTAAATAATTGTGAATTGTTCTTCGGTTTAAGTCCTATATCGGTTCATATTAATCTTGTAGCGAATTT